AGTAGCGAATTACAGTAGTCAATCTTAGAGCTAACGAGGACATTAACAACAGTTTTTGTAGACTCAATGGAAAGAAACTTTCTGATGCGAGAAATATTCCTAACGTGATAAAAAGATGATATTTCGCACGTGATGTATTTGCTTTGGCCTGGATGCCCGACCTGAATTAGATAATTTGTTTTTCCATATATTTTTCACTGACTGTTGTATGATTCTGCTAAAATTTAGTATAATGGCTAAAAGTAGCTTACTTCGACAGATTTAAACAAAAAGGAAACGTTAGAAATAATGTTTTTCATGTTACTATATATATCTCATCAGTGCGTGCAACAATTTTCTATTTGTACCCATGCTACCTTTCGGTCTTGTCTTGCAGGCTGGAGTGGTTAAGTGTGACGTCACAAATTTTCAAATTAGCCTCAAAACCCCATCATTATATAAAGATTGCTGCTGTATGATCAACCACAAAATTTCAACTTGTTAGCACGAATAGAACAGAAGATAGAGAGGCTCAAAGTGTGGAACCGTCCCATACAAAACCTCTCTAATTTTGCGCCTGTTCTAAACTGAAGGACTGCAGCTGCAGACGCAAAATTAGAAAAGTTTGTATGGAGAAATTAAAACCTGAATTGTCCCACACTTCGCGCTCTCGGGCTCGTCTAGAAAAACCTGTTTTGTGACGTCATAGTCGTCATAACTTTAGTAGTCAAACCTGTTGTTAGTAGTTTCTTGTATATACGGGAGGACGGGACTGTATCGGGTCAAAAATTCTTCTTCATTTCAGCCAGCAACCAACCTGACTTCTTCTGATTTCAAAATTCGACTGCAACTAGCTGAATACTAAAATTACAGACATGTTTGGGGTTTTTTGAACCGTGAGAACCAGGAATATAAAACCCTAAAGCCAAAACATGACTATCATAAACTGCGTGGGAGCTAACCACTTGGACCAAACGGGAAATGAAACTAAGAGCCTAGACAAGATACATGTGGGCTGACCTTGACAACTGGACAACCGTGGTCGATCACAAGATCAACACGAGACAAACGAATATTTCTGGCCAAACGGAGACGCAAGTAGACATTTGCGTATCCGTTTGGCCACGACTTGCGTTCACTTTGATCGCGATCAAATTTAAGCGCAAGTAGACGAAAGTTTTTCACCGTGGCCACCCGACGCAAGTCAACGCAAGTTTTTTTGTTTAGAACGGTTTTCAATTGACTGTCGAAAGTAACTACGAGCTATGATTGGTTTAAAAAACTCACGCCATCTTCTCAACCAATCAGATGCAAAACCAAAACCAATCGCGGCTTGGTCACACGCGTTTTCCCGCGCTTGGTGCCGGTCACGTGCTTTTGCTTTGAGTTCTCATTGGTTCATCGTGTTGTTTACGTTTGACGCGATTGGTTACTGTATTACTTTGGTTTTGGTTTCACGACACTCAATTGAAAACCGCCCTATCTAGTACCCGGAATTACAGCGCGCGCAGGAGCATTCAAATATGGCTTTTTTTTGGCAGCTTGCGTCATCTATACTTGCGTGCACTTGCGATAAACTTGCGACTACGTTTGGCCACCAACGCAAGTCTGTATGCAAGTTCAACTTGCGTTTACTTGCGTCTCCGATTGACCAGGGCTTAATACTCGAAGGTATCATAAAAAATCTTTGAAAAATCTACTATCTTAATAATACATAGTGTGTTTCTCACTTTACGTGCGAATCACCATGACAGACAGACCAGGTTTCATTTTCATTTCCATTGTTTAGAATGTGTTTTTTTCTAGTTAAGCGCTTCAAACCGTTTGTTGTACTGTTATCTCTGTTTATTCTTAGTGTTCTGTACACATTGAATTCATTCTTCGCGGATTATGAAAACAATGTCGTCATGTTGAATTTGTTTCGTCCAAAACTGACTGAAAACAACGACGCCGACGTTGATTTAAACAAGCAGCTTTTGCTTCTTCGAAAAGGTTTCAAAAAGTCGCTGGACCAGTACGAAGCGTCAAGGAAGAACTTTGGCAAGAAGTTTCACGATGCCGTTAAGAATGCATCGTTTAACAACTTGGAGTCGAATGGAGACATTTTGAAGCAGCATATAGTTTGCAATGATGATCTCCTTTTTCCTTCTAATTCAAGTCCATTCCAGTCCAGAAAATTTCATGAGTCGACAAGCAATCAGGCTGACATGGGGAAGTATGGATCATTTTATTGGCAATCGACAAGAAAATAACCGCGGCAAATTAAGGTAGGTAAAACATTTACCAATCGGCTGCTCGACAGAACATTTTCATGACTGTTTAGAACATGATTTGTAATAGCTGTTATTACACTGTTGAGCCCGCAGTCAAATATTCATTTGTTTTTAAAAAGTATGCAAACGAGTTATGCTCGATTTCCGCCGCTCTCTCGAGTCCGGTCTTCGTTCTGGCTCATTTTCCCGAACAGCGGCTGGTAATCGAGCCTAAAAATGAGGCTAATGGGCCAATACAATGCCAGATTGACCCTTTCGCCTCGTTTGCATGTCAAACCGCTGACATCTGTAATAACTGCTATTGTTGCGAGTTATGATTTATATACAGTCAACTCTCTCAAAGCGGACACCACTGTAAAGCGGACATGATTGGTTGGTCCCGACCGAATCAAGTTTCTCCATTTTTCTGTAACCCAACTCTCTATAATGCGGACACCTCTTTGAGGCGGACAGCTAGAGCTGGTTCCGAGGGTGTGCGCCTTAGAGAGAGTTCACTATATCTTGCGTAGAGGTATAATTTCGTACACACCCGGTTAAATTGTATGCCTAACCACGTATACCACAATGAAACGGTTGTGAATTTTATTGACAGTGTCCTATAATGCAAAATAGAACTGTTAAACAATCGAAGATTAACAATCATAGTTACTGATAGCAGAATTCAGGCGAGGCTTCCCCTCCCCATTGGGGTGAGGGGACTCCCATATAAAAGTGACGGGGGTGATCGTCGGAAATTTTGAAAGAAACCCCTAAAAGGTATCAGAATCTCGTTTTGCGGGTGTGGCTCGAATTCAATTTGACCCCATTCTCGTTCCCAGATCCTCTGTTTCTTTTGGTCACGTGGTTGGCGAAACGTAGGCTCTGGTCTCAGCCGTTACCGGATGTCAGAAAATTCCGGACATCCATTCATTAATTCGTGTTGCGCATTCGTTTTTTTATCAGCAAATGAAAAAAATCGATTTTTCCTTGCGACCAGGGCTACTCGTTTCCGGCACAAAGAAAAAAAAAACGAGGAGCTCTGGGAACGAGGATGATTTGACCCCTACTGAGGTACCAATTTTAAAACAAAACTAGTTCCTATCCTATTTTCCGTCCGACTTAATACTCTAAAAGCAGGAGCCCATTGTGGGCTCCTGCCTTTTCCCCCAAAAACGCCAAGAGAGCTTGCTCGCAGGCTAGCTCCTGCCTAAAAGGTACCGAGATTACTCAAACAGTGGTATTGAACACACACAAAAAGGTAGGTCCGCAGTAGCGTATTTACGTTTTTATGCCTCGATCGGTGCATCGTGGTATGTAGCCTCAAACATGTCAGGGAAGTCGGGTTGTAGTGACATTTTAGACTACGTAAAACATGCGTGGTAAGTTCTTTTTCGTAATTTTCAGGTCTTGGAAAACAGTGTTCCTCATCGGGCACAGCTCTAACCCCAAAATAAATCACCTTGTTGATCAAGAAGCCAGCATCTACAAAGACGTCGTGATAGGTTCATTTGAGGATACATATCGCAACCTTTACATGAAGATGATCTTTAGCATCAATTGGCCGCTGGACCAAAAGTGTCACGCTTCCTACATCCTTAAGACAGATGAAGACTGCTTTGTTAATATTGGGAATCTCCTTAACTGGCTTAGCAGCTACCATGAAGCACTGAACGGGACGCGCTCGCTTTATGCGGGTAGAGTCCAGATAGGTATGGAAGTTATACGGGACAAGCGAAGCCGCTACTACGTCTCAAAGAAAGATCATCCCGCGGATACATTTCACCCGTATGTTTCTGGTGGAGGCTATGTGCTAAGTGGAAATTTATTGCCTTTACTCGCTGAAGTTTCACAGAGATCGCCGGTGTTTCCAAACGAAGATGCACTCCTCGGTTCCCTGATGCACCGACTCGGAGTAAAGCCAACAGATAACAGGAAATTTTTACCTATAATCTATTGTCCCTTCTATGGCTTGGACTCGGAATCGGACAGGTTTCGGGAGGCACACATGTGTGGCCTGTCAAGACAGATCATATTGCACGATATAAGAGACAAGCGTCAACTGAAAATGCATTTCAACAGCGCGCTGCTCAATTATTTTTCTACTTTTTGTTCTTTGCAAATCAATTACGAGGAAATGCGGGATCATTGCTACTGATGAATAAAAATGTTCTTTCCAAATATACTCTCTTTTCCGCAATCCAAATATATCTCAGAACTATGTTTTGCGTTCACTACGCATACAAATTCGAAATCAACAAATCAAATTTAACTACAGATTTAGGGTTGTTGCAAAGGACATTATTTTGTAGCCAGAAACCTTTGGCGCGTTGGAACTTTGCTAGTATGGTAAGATTCGATAAGATACACTAAATGATTGGGAGTAAAAAAGTATTCACGAGCCTAGTAGCCTGCGTAGCTGGCGGTCTCAGCTTGTTGGCGCGCGAAGGCAAAATTCGTAAGCGGAGGAGCCCGCGAGAGGGTCTGACTCTCCCGCCCCAGACTCTCGCGGCTCTACCGCTTACAAATTTTTCCTTCGCGCGCCAACAAGACCGCCAGCTACGCAGACTACGGGCCTAGTGGCCTACAACTGCTGGAGCTTATCCCGGTTTCTGTAGCATGAAGCCGACTAGGAGTATTGTTACTCCCCTGGATGGGATGCTAGTCCATCGCAGGTTATCCCCCAGCATTTTGTCTCTGGTACCCATTTATACCCCTGGGTGGAGAGAGGCACTGTGAGAATAAAGTGTCTTGGCCAAGAATACAACGCACTGACCCCGGCCAGGGCTCGAACCTGGACAGCTCGGTCTGGGGTCCAACGCGCTAACCATTAGGCCACCGCGTTTCTCAATGACTGGGAGTACGGATGGCATTTTTAACTTCAAGGTTATTTCGAGTAGCCAGTACCCCTATTATTTTTTTCTGTCCAATTATTGTAAATACTTTTAGTAACTTGTGGGGTAAAATAAAGTTTTGTTGTTGTTGTTGTTGGGTGTATAATTTCGAAATGAAAATGTTCCTGCGCAAAAAAAAAAAGGTTTCATGACTTTTCGGGACTACTGCTTCAGTGTGAAATGGCACTCAGATGAAGAACGCACACTGAACGGTCATTTCACAGTGAAGAAGATGACAGAAGTCCTGAAACGTCTATGAACGGTTTTGTTTGCATCAGGTTATATATAGGCACAAAGCGGCCATTTTCTATTTTTTTTCTAAAATAAAGCCAACAAAATGCAATGATACGTCATAATCGTGGTATATAGCCTCTGCACCAATCATAGCGCGCGTTATATGATCAAAATTTTTAATATTAAACAAATAAGTATAATCATCATTAGTAAAAATCTACTAGTATACTAATGCAAATGAGACAATCTGATTGGCTGAGCTACTCGTATACTATCAGCCATTAGTGTGCAGTGGCTGGAGGTCGTCTAAAATTGCGGTTTCTTCTCGTTTCTCCGAAGTTTCGGAAGAAGATTTAGAGTTTTAACTCTAAATATACTAGACAATTGTTGTGATTTTTACTAAAACAATTAGATTATTCGCTCTCAATTTCTATGATGTGATATTTGATTCGGCCTACGGCCTCATCAACTATCACATCATAGAAATTGAGAGCGAATAATCTAATTGTAAAATTATAAAACGAATTACAAAAGTTTAATTCGCTATCATCACATTAAACCATGCATACTAAAACAAAAGCGATTTATTTTAGTTCTGTGCGAGGTTTAACGAAGAAAATTAAATTGGACGTATATGCCACTTGTCGGATAGCTCAATATAAAAAAACCTAAAGCTGAAGAATCTTGGAAAAAAAAGGACGCTTTGGCAATATTAAACCATGTGTTTAGACATAGTTAATAGAGGGAAATGGTTATGAAGCCCGGCAAACTTCAAAGGAGCAAACAAAGAGGCCAAGATTTATGTTGAAAGGTCCATGACCGTGCACATCTTTTGTTTTGCGCTCATACACTATGCATGAATTACGTAATCGCAACGTTTCTATTGGTTAGTTGCTTGAACATACGTAACTACCTATTGTATTTTGTCAGGTTTTGTGCACGGTCAACTCCCAAAATAGCGAACAAAAACATATAACAAAGAACTTTGCCAGGCTTCATAACCATTTCCCTCTATTAACTATGGTTTAGAGCGGTTTCCTATTTGAGTGTCTTAAAACCATAACCAAAGTAATTACAATGGTCAATCACAACAAACATATACAGCACAATGAACCAATGAGAACTCGAAGCAAATAAACGGCGCCAAGCGCGGGAAAACGCGTGTGACCAAGTCGCGATCGGTTTTGCATCTGATTGGTTGAAAAGTTTGCGCGAGATTTCAGTTTTAAACCAATCACAGAGCGTAGTAAAGCAAAACCAAAGCAATTCCGGATTAGATAAAGACACTCAATTGAAAACCGCTCTAACAACCTTTTATTTTATTGCCGGGTTGTCGTTTTAGAGAAAAGAGATTTCGTGAGGCTTGCGGCTCCTCTCGTCGTGAACTGAAAGCTCTGGGTATTAGTTTGTCATTTGTTTTGACCTTGCAGGCACCTGTTAGTACCTGCCATTCGTTCGCGAACGAAGTTTCTTTTTCTCGTAGTTTACCCGCTAGTCATCGAGTTCAATAATGTCGGCCGCAGCGCGGCTCCAACTTCCGCGATTAGGCTCGTCCCACAAATTTCCACGAGCTAATAAATCGCTGTTCGACATCGCTACTCCTTCCACTAAAACTGCAATCAAGAAAATTAACTCCAACGCAACGTGTTCTCGTGGCTGTTTTCGAGTTTTGTGGTGGTACTTTGCTGGGGTTTGGTCGCGTTCTCTTGGTGTCGTGTTTGAGGAACTTGCGCCTAACGCAGCCTTTTTACTAGACTTTGACCCTTTTAGTGCGTTTCTTGGCTTTCTTCTTCCTTGAATGCGAGCCAGTGACTTCGTCGACTAAGCGGCCGGTGGGAAGCTGGTGATAATCCACGCAGTCGATGTTAAAACATCCGATATCGCATTTCCAAAAGCTATCCATGCCGACATCCAAGGGTAAAATCTCGAAATCTCGAATCTCTTCTTCATCTGTGCAGCCGGGTAATTTCTCCATGAAAACAGGAACTAAAGCTTTATCGTTGTTAAAATTGTCTGTGACTTCTTCCTCGTCGTTACCTAGGCGGTCATTTTCTATAATTTCTGATAAGGAAATGCGGGTTTCTTCTAAAGCACATGTCTGTTTTGTGCTGCTAGGGTGAGGTCCAACAACATTGATTGTAGAATTCGCTACAAAATTTGCCAAAGCCGCACTGCTCTCTTTAGAATACTGCATAACCTTATCCCATTTGTCTTGAGTATTTCTGAGAAGATCTTCGTTAAAAACCTGACTTGTAGCTTCGACGAGGGACGTTTTCAACGAGATTGCTTTAGACTCTACGCTTTCCACAAGCGCTTCAAATGCGACTTCGCTCGCCTTTTCATCGTGCGTGCGTTGAACTCTCGATGACAAACCTTTTACGGCAGCCTTCAGTTCTTGGACGGCTTTGTTCTACATCGTCGACAATGCTATGCACTTTCAGTACAATTCTTGCCGTGAGCTTTTAAGGTTACCTTGAGGTCCTTGTAGACGGTTTTGATGTCTCGGAGAAGACTGATTAAGCCTCCCATGTTCACTTAACGTGAATCAATTCTGTTTTGTTTCCCTTTCGCCGATTCATTTTCTTCAAAAAACGTTTCTAGACTGTGTTTCTTCTCAAACTAGAGAAGAAACATTTACGGTTCGATTTTTTATTTTACCGCACCCTTTAGGGTGGGGCTCGCTAGGACAAGCAAAACAGGTCCTTGCAGGGGAAAATGGGTGTGGCGCTTTTACCTGCAGCTGTGACCGGAGCTGTCACACGCTCTGCCGTCGAACAACTGAATAAAAAATCCAAAGTCATACATTATACTGTCATTAAACATGAATGGACGGGAGAAACACCGGATAGATAATACATGGCTCGTATGTAACTTAATGTCTGCCCATTATTTTTAGCCCCTATGGTTATTTTGGGCAGGCCGTACCCTCTACTTATAAAATATACATTGTAATTATTGCTGTCCTTTCTGGGTACAAATAAATGGTTGTTGTTGTTGTTGTATGGCTCTGGCTTTATTTGTTGAATACAGAATGACAACACTGATTAAGCAAGCGGTGTCTAAGTCCTCGATAACCAACCAAGGCTTGTTAATCTTGTGATTGGCTAGCGGAAAATTACGCCTGAATTTCGCCCGAAATGCACTCTAAAAATAATCGGTCTGTATTTAACTGCATCAAAACAGAGCGAAAGTCTGTCACTCTGAGCTATGCTGGTCGACACTGACTACTTTCTAAGGTAGGTGAAATAGGGAGGACACCTCACTTACCCTTGACATCCCTTTAATGAGGGCATACATCTCTAAGGCGGATATCTCTCTAAGGTAGACACCTCTCTAAGGCAGATACCTATCTAAGGTAGACACCTCTCTAAGGAAGACACCTCTCTAAGGTAGACACCTCTCTAAGGCAGACACTTCTCTAAGGCAGACACCTCTCTAAGGCAGACACCTCTCTAAGGCAGACACTTCTCTAAGGCAGACACCTCTCTAAGGCAGACACCTCTCTAAGGCAGACACCTCTCTAAGGCAGACACTTCTCTAAGGCAGACACCTCTCTAAGGCAGACACTCTCTAAGACAGACATATCTCTAAGGTAGACACTTCTCTGAGGCAGACACCTCTCTTAGGCAGACACTTCTCTAAGGTAGACACTCCTCTAAGGCAGACATATCTCTAAGGCAGACACTTTTCTAAGGCAGACACCTCTCTAAGGTAGACACCTCTCTAAGGTAAATACCTCTCTAAGGCAGACACCTATCTAAGACAGACACCTCTCTAAGGTAGACACCTCTCTAAGGTAGACACCTCTCTAAGGTAAATACCTCTCTAAAGGCCAATTTAGACGGTATGATTTTGTCGCATGCGACTTTTGTAGCGCGCGCTGCTGGTGTCATGTAAAAATCGTATACGACTTTCATCTTTAATATTGTTTGTAGCTACGACATGTCGCAGGGTTTTAAAACATGTTTCAAAATCCTACGACATTTTTCCTGTCGTATACGATAATCGTAAGCGAGTTGTAGGTTTGATTTACACGACACAATTCGTGTCGTAGGCTTGTCGTAAGCATGTCGCATGCGACAAAATCGTACCGTCTAAATCGGCCTTAAGGCAGACACCTATCTAAGACAGACACCTCTCTAAGGTAGACACCTCTCTAAGGCAGACACCTCTCTAAGGCAGACATATCTCTAAGGTAGACACTTCTCCAAGGCAGACATCTCTCTAAGGTAGATACCTCTCTAAGGTAGGCACCTCTCTAAGGCAGACACTTCTCCAAGGCAGACATCTCTCTAAGGTAGACATATCTCTAAGGCAGACACCTCTCTAACGCAGACACCTCCCTAAGGCAGACACTCCTCTCTAAGGTAGAACCTCTCTAATGCATACATCTCTATAATATATGAAAGACCATCTAAGACAGACACCTCTAATTAATGCAGACACTACTCTCTAAGGAAGACACCTCTCTAAGACAGACACCTCTCTAATGCAGATACCTCTCTAATGCTGACCATATGAAGAAAAACTGTTTTGTAAACATTTTACAATTAAAATTTAATCCCAATGTTTAATAATACCAATAATAACATTTACATTTCTCTGTTTTTAAAATATTTGAAGTGAAATATGATTTACAACATAAATAACGATATTTTCCGCAGTAAAATTTACATGTAATAATGACAGCCTGTGGCTTTAAAAATCCTCAAAGGGA